GGCAATCAGAGAGGATTTTATGTCTATCAATAAATGTGTCTAATCTGTTATTAAAGAGTTTTTCCAAGATTTTTGAAAACTGTGACAACAGAGAAACCGGTCTATAATTTGTGAAGTTGTGCTTATCACCAGATTTATACAGTGGAATAACCTTTGCTATTTTCATATTATTGGGTAACTGACCAAGTCGAAACGACATGTTAAAAACATGGGTTAATAGTTTGCTTATCCCCTCGATTGCCCATTTAACCATTGTCATACTGATACCATCACTATCACTGGATGATTTATTTCCACATTTGTTAACTATATCTATAATTTCCTTTTCAACAATTGGCTTCAGAAACATAGAACACATATTCCTTTCAATTGTATTGTTATTTATGTTGACGTCTGTACAAATGGTACTTGCTAAGCCAGGACCCACATTCACAAAAAACCTATTAACTTCTCAACTACATCCTCAAATCTGTTGACCGGTGTATCATTGTCCATAAAATATGTTGCAAGGTTATTCCTAATAATAATCTTCTGTAAAATGTCTGAAGAGAGAAAAATGTCACACAATTGTTCAGAGTCCCCAGTGGCATCTTCACATTTCTTGTTTTGTCCAACCAACAGTTAAAACCCAGTTAATAATGATTTAAAACAGAAAAATGCAGAAAATTCTCCAGTTGGAGAAGCTGGAACTAGGTTATGTTTGATGTGTTTTGCCTGGTTAATCACTGAAATAATGAACTGATTGAACAGTTTCTGATTAATGGTGAATAAATAAAGTTTTCAATCGACAAATAGTTTCAGCTCTAAAACTGTCAACTCAGGATTCAGTCCATACTATTAGGTGTTTAGTTGAAATTGAAAAAAATGGCAGGGGAACAAGACAACTGTTGATCTTCTATTGTACAGAAGTAGTTTTAAATTATTTCTGTCTCAAGTTAAATGGTTAATTGTTTTACCAGACCACAATGAGCAAGCGGGTGAAATTTAGTGCATCAGATGCCATAATGTGTAATATTCCCTGTGGGAAGCCTTTGTCCTCACTGTAGGCTCCTCATGTTTGTTTGAGTAATGCTAAAATTTAAAACATTTCCTCACCATGTTTCCTCCTGCAGTGCCCAATGATCCTCTGGTTCCTACTGCTGTGTTAGGTGAGACTTCTGGCATTGGATACGTCACATTTATCACCAATAAGTACCCTGTAGCGATCACCCATCATCACCATAAAGCCCTGTCCTGTATATCCCGGTGCAGCATTCCATAGGCTCCGGTTTTATGTAAACAGTGCTCATAACTGTGGCTGTTGAAGTTGGCGATGCCCTCTACTTTGACCACTGACATTTATGTATATGTGGGTGGATAGTTTAGCTTGTTTGAAGTGTTGGTACCACAATGTTGCCCCTTACCTACAATTAGATGTGCTAGATGTTTAATGCTTATGATATTACAACAGACAGGGGCCTATAAACAGCAAAAACATAAAGTAGATGTTTAGATTAGTCTCAGAAGCAATGCAAAGATATTTAAGAGATTAGATGGATGGATGGATGAAGGAAGTTACAGCTGTGTGTTCCTCTCTTGCCTCTTTTTGACACCTAGTGCCAACTCACTGTGTAAAAACTCCAACAGCCAAACACTTCATCTGTCATCCTGTGTTTTCCCTAGATTCAGTCACTCCCAATCCCTGTCATGGTTTCTGTTTCCTACTGAGTGTTATTGATATTCACAGTAATTACCATCATTTTCCCTTAGAGACCTCATTATTTCCACAGTTTTGAGTTGTTTTAAGGCATGCTATCGCCTGCCCCAAAAATGAGAGATACCAAAGCTTAAGAGGCAGAAGACAATTTGTCACGTTGCCACTGCAAAACGACTGCAGATTTAATCTATGACATCAAGTCACAGTGAACAACTTAGTGCCTAAAGCTCTGTCTCTTTGGCAGAAGTTTTTCTGTGCACAGGATCTAGAAGCCTGCTTGAGTATCTACCATCTGTGTTATTCCCCAGGCTTGTTTTGTTGATTGTGAAAGCTGAAATTTTTGCCAAGCTGGATGTTTCTTCAGCTCCAGTGTTGCACTGCAATGTGTTTATCTTGAGTTTAGTGTTGACGCCGCAGCATGACGTGGAGTTCGAGTATACCCTTAAGGCATCCACAATCCACAGCGCCACCAAACTGTGTTAATTAACTGTTCCATAGGATCTAATTTGGAGTGAAGGCTGCAGTTACAATCTGTCCCAGCCAATCACATCACCGAGTGGGAAGAAGTAGCGAATTAGGAGGGAGTGTTGGGTCAAGTTGACTGTTAATTGGCCTGACGAGGGCTTAGCAAACCAGTAATGAGCTAACCTGGCCTCAGAGCAGAGAAAACATCCGTTGGATAGAGTAAACTTTGAGTTAATAAATAGCACTGAAGATGAAATCAGTCGGTTGTGCTACAACCCCAGGCTTATCCATAATACAACCCGTCAGTCTCAGCATTTCCACTGTCAGTTCACATTATCCCCACAGCACCAACATGTTCACCTGGAAGTTCACCTTCTGCCAAAGACACAATGTTCACACGAGCCAATTCAGTCTGTATGTTTCTGCACAGATGCTGGTAATATTTCTAAATTTTGACCTTGGAAAACCAGCTACTCTTACCATTACAATGGATAAGGCAAGTTATGTAGCTGTAAATAGCAGTGGACGGTGCCACTAGAGGGCAGTGGAGTATTTGTGGTGGGAAAGATACTGTAGATGTTGTTTTAGTAAAATGACAAAATTCACAAGAAGCCCAACACATTTTGTAGACTTATACCATATTTTGTAATGCTGTTGTTTTGTGACATCATCTACAATTTTTTTTGGATCATCCTTTGTGTATAAAGCTTTGCACGCTGTGTTGATGTGGTCAGATTGTAACTTTTGTCCATGTTTAAAGTCTGACAAATAATCCTTAGCCTGCAATCTGACTAAACTTCTTTACTCTTTTCTTCTACTGCTACTTTACCACGTAGTTCCAATCACAGGTGAGTATAGACTGAGAAAACCAGCAGATAAATGGTTGGTTTGGTTTGCAGGAATATCTGAAATTTCAGCTAGTACTGTTTTTTTGTTTGTTTGTATTTTCTCCATTGTTGTATATACTGTAGGTGAAAGTAATGTTCTTTTAATGCCAGTAATCAGTGAATGTATATGATTTTATCCAGCCCACTTCATCTTTCATTGCCTTGGAACTCCTTTTACTGCATGAGTCATCCCTCAGGCCTGATAAGAATCAAAGTGGATCCATTTTATTCAGTTTTTTCCCCTCTGCACAAAGTAAAATGCTGCTTTTAGGAGTCTAGAGTGCAGGCACGGATAAATGCAATTCAAATTTTGATTAAATTGCAGTTGATCTGACTAGTAATTTTCTTGTCTCTTACAGATGAGAACCACAGCGGCTCTGCAGCAGAGAATAGCAGGCTTCTAGATGTTCCTCGGTATCACTGTGAAGGCACTGAATCTCCTTATCAGACAGGACAGCTCCACCCTGCCATCAGAGTGGCTGACCTCCTGCAGCATATCAACCTGATGAAAACATCTGACAGCTACGGCTTTAAGGAGGAGTATGAAGTAAGACTACTATTTTCAGTACTTTTAGTACAACAGTAGTAGAAGCAGGGTCAATCCATGAGTACGTTAATTCAAGTGCACTTGTTAGCATGAGGTCAAATTAAATTAAATCATAAAATTACAATTTTTATACATTTAACAGTTTTTTGTTAAACTATAGTCATTTTCCCATGTCCACTTTGACCATTTCTCACATTCATGTGTGGCAACACTCAATCAATATTGCATAAATCTCAGACCTTTTGTTTTTAGGAACATAAATGCTTCCCTCTTTATGGGAAATGGATTAATGTGTTAATTTAAATATTTTGTTAAAATAGCATGATTGAAAACCTTTGTTAAGCACAACATATCCACCACACCATGCAAAAAATATGGGGGAAGCAATTTATTAATGAAGTTTTCAATTTGTATTTTGTATAAAAACATACATTTTTCATTTAGTTGCATGCTAAGTGTGGTGTTAGCTTTGCCCACAGAGAGATTTTTGGCCGTATTACTTTAAATTTTCCTGCCCTGTCACTGAACTGGTTTACCTATTGCCCTGTGATGGGGTGAAACAAACCAACTCTGATATCTTTATATAATGGGAAAACAATAAAATAAAATAAAACAAATGGTGCCTTAGCTTGCAAAGTATATTTAATTGCAGGTCTAACATAGCCCTCATGCTGTGAAATAGAATATTTTATGTTTGGTTTTGATAAAACTTAAAATTCAAAGATCCATTTTCTACTGTTTCTGTGGAATGACTCAGTGGCTTGGTTGGTTACAAATGTACCACAGGGACCAGTAGCTGACTATGCAACACATTAAGATCAGTACTATTCTGATTACGATGCTTCCTTTAATGTTTGGCCTCACATTAAAATGATAAAATGACTATTGGAGTTAAATTGCTTCTAATTTGAGAGTATTTTCTGCCTTATTGACTAAACAGTCAAAGTGCTACAAGCCTCTTAAATGCCTCCTTGTTTTCGTATCTAATAATCATTATCTAACGTCTTATGTGCCAGTGGAATAAAATCACTAGAGCAACACAATCATTCAACTTTGTCTTTCTGCTCAGAATTATCTTGCAGAAGTGTTATTATTAAGGATCCATGATGTGTAATTTTCTTTTCTGGTTTTGTGTGTGTTGTTGGTGATACAGAGCTTCTTCGAGGGCCAGTCGGCTTCCTGGGATGTGGCCAAGAAGGAGCAGAACCGCACCAAGAACCGCTATGGGAACATTATTGCCTGTAAGCTAGCAAACAAGCTTTAAATAGGGTCACATTTAAGCACAGGTGTTACAAAGTGGAATCCAGCAAAAGGACAGAGGGCGGTGAAATGAGAAAGTTTAAGTGTGCAATCCACAGAGCTGCAGGTATAAAGTCAAGACAAGACCAAAAAAAATAGATTTTAAGATGCTTTTTAGAAATGTGTACTGATTTGGCTCCTGCGAGATTTACAAGAGGCCATTCCACAGATGATGAGCAGTAACTGCAAAGGCACAGTCATCTTTAGTTTGTAGCCTTTACCTTGAAAAGAAAAACATCAGTTTCTGCTCTGAAAATCCAAGGCCTCCCCTATGTTATTTCTTTACACTCACAAGATCAGAGTAAAATTTGGATGTTACTCCAATGATCTTAGTTCACTGTTACACAGCTTACTTACCCTTGAAATAACCAAAACATTTCCAACTTTGGCAGATAATATTCCGAACATCACTCACCAGAAGAAGCTGACTGAGGAAACAGATTTTCAGTGGCTGTTACTCCATCAGTCCCATTCACTGCTTTATAACAAATATTCTTTCTCCATGTTACTGTCTCTCTCTGGCTTCCTCTCTCCCACACTGTTCCTCTGTGTATTCCTTTAGATGACCATTCAAGGGTTATTCTCCAACCCATAGAAGACGACCCCTCCTCCGACTACATCAACGCCAACTACATCGATGTAAGTGGAAACGCATCGAATGCTACTATTGGCTCCCAACAAAACCAACGAAACCACACTCCCTCGCTCGTATGTCAGGCCTCTATACCTTTATTGCATCTACAAGTCATCCATCATACCATTTTACATATCCAGTCACCGTGGAAGCATCATACATACAGCATGCCTTTCTCAGATGTCAGCTCTGCTGTCTTTTTCCAAAGTCTGTCTATTTTTTCATCTATTCATCCTGAATGTGCTATCCTAACTTAATCTGATACAGCCAAATTAGATGGCATTTTAACTAGACAAAGAAATGAGATATATCAACAGTAGATGTTTATCCATTATTTGTAATTGCCCAGTAGTTTAACAAGAATAAACTGTAATCACCACCAGTAAGATGAGAGGAACTTACCCTCTTTAAAATAACCCTATATAACCCCTTTAGACTTTTTTAGGTACTGGTAGGTGGATTTTCTTATATTAGGACAGAGCCAGACTAGCTATTTCTCCCTCTCTTTAAGCTAACCTAACATAAATGTCTGCTAGCTATAGCTTCATATTTAACATACAGTCATGAGACTGGTATGGATCTTTACATCTACCTCTCAGAAAGAAAGCACACGTGTATTTCCATTAACTCTGCATTTATCCTCCATCTATCCATCTGGTCCATTTTGTCAGTATACTATTCATCATCTATTTGCTAGTTTTATCTATTGTTTGTCCATTAATCCATAATACCATCTATAGTACCTGTCTGTTTATTTGCCACTCCACCCTCCACCCTACTGTCATGTTACACGTTAATTAACAATCATCTGCATGTTAGTCTTCAACATTGTGCTTTTTAAAATGCTAATACTGTTTATAGCATACTCTTCTTTATTTTCATTAGCTGCCATTATAATAATTACATGCATGCTGTCACTCCCATTAAGCTAGAATTATAATGAATAGAGTGGACACTCCCTGGTGTTTCGAGTTTCTGTAGACTATATTTAAATGTACTTTATTATTAAAAAAAGCTGAAATATCAGTACATATATAACTGTAATGTTTAGTGACTGAACCTAAGTGTCCTTTCTATTCAGTCTAATTCTGTGTTTTAGACCATGTTTTTTCTGCATGTCCTGTTCAAACACTCATTATGTCAGTACAACTTTTTTTTTTTTTGATTGATCCTCACTGACATGGTTGTGCTTTCTTTCTTTCTTTCTTTCTTTCTTTCTTCCACTTGTTCTTTCTGCCTGTGGCTTGGGCTATAGATTTGGCTGTACAGGGATGTAAGTATCACTGTGGATTCTTTCATTCATGGCCATAAACCTTTACACCCGTTCACCTCTACAGCCATTCCTTTAAACTCGCTCTTACCCACATCGAGTCATGTTGTCCATATACTTTGAGTTGCTGAGGTCTCTGCTGCATGAAAGATTTCACTCCATCTTGGTCTCCCACCAGTATCATAGTGTGCCGTGAATTTGCTTATGCATAATCTCTGTTTTTGAATTACTATCTTAAAGACATTCCAGTCAGTGGTTGCTCTAACTCTTTTCATACCTGACAGCTGTTACTAAGGTAACAGGCATAAATCATTTTTACATTTTAGATGTGCTTTATTATGATATGTATTTTTTAGCCTTGTTTTGATCATTTGGAAATTGACTAATGTTAAGTGCAAAAGTGAGATGTCCTTCAATGAATACAGATTATTTTTGATAGATCTACTGCTGTACTGCAGATGTCTCCAAGTGGAAACAAGTCTATTTAATATATTTTTTAGCATGAAATATGACTTTGGGTGCATACTGAGTAACTGGAGTTGTTTTCAGGGCTACCAGAGACCAAGTCACTACATTGCTACTCAAGGTAAGAGACTACAACACCTGCTCAAACACCTAATACCAATTCTACACAACTGCTGTTACACAGGATACAAATAACAGTATTTCCTTTGCACATAGTAAAAATACAAAGCACCGAATGTATGTCTGTGTGTAGGTCCTGTTCATGAAACAGTTTATGACTTCTGGAGGATGGTGTGGCAGGAACAGTCGGCCTGCATCGTCATGGTAACCAACCTGGTGGAAGTTGGAAGGGTAGGTTTCTCTCTTTCTCTCCTCTGTTCTTCGTTGTGAGGTTCAGCTATGCAAGGCTTTTCCCAGCACTCATCTAGAGATTATTGTCACATATCTGCTGCCCTACTGATGAATTCTGTGATGTATTATATTATGTATCACGCTATATTTTTTATTTTACATAAAATGCTATATTTCCCATGATTTAGGAACACAATTTATGATAACTACAAAAGCTCCAGGTTAGGAGTTCCCTTTGGATTCAGTTCTTTTTTTTTTGTATGGCAAAGCCCACAGGCCCTTTCCCTTTGCAGTTTGTTTAATTTTTGGGCCTCTGTAAACTGAATAACTTTCATACACAATAAATAGCTTCTTTTACCTTATGTTGCTTCCCTTTTTTGCTAGCTGAGCTGGGTCATAACAACTCTATTTGATTAAATACTTAAACTCTATTTAAACAGGTCAAGTGCTATAAGTATTGGCCAGATGATGCAGAGGTGTATGGTGACTTCAAGGTGACATTCGTGGAGGTTGAACCTCTTGCCGAATATGTGGTTCGCACATTTACACTTGAAAGGGTTAGTGATATTTTTTAGTTTACGCTTTGCAACATGTTTGAGTTTGAAATCGTTGAATTAGCTGTAACCCAAACTTATCTTTTGTCTTTTTTCAGCGTGGCTTCAATGAGGTGCGGGAGGTCAAGCAGTTCCACTTCACAGGCTGGCCTGATCATGGAGTTCCATATCATGCCACAGGACTACTTTCCTTCATCCGCAGAGTGAAAATCTCTAATCCACCCTCTGCTGGGCCTATTGTGGTTCACTGCAGGTATAAACATAGTACATGCCAACCTACATGCACTCTACCACACATAATAAATAAGATTAGAAATATGTTGATTATTTAAAATATCCCGTGCTCTGTAGAAATTAAAACGTCCCTTTCTCCCTCTGCAGTGCTGGAGCAGGGCGTACAGGCTGTTTCATAGTCATTGACATCATGTTGGACATGGCGGAGAGAGAAGGGGTGGTCGACATCTACAACTGCGTGAAGGCTCTTCGCTCCAGGAGGATCAACATGGTACAGACTGAGGTGACTGCATTACCCATCCTCCATCTGCATCCACATCTTAGAATATACTCAGTGTAAGAGTCAGCCATCAGCGTGGTGCACGCTGAGATGACTACATCGAGCATCTTTCACCATCTGTCATTCATAAACATGAAATCTTGCTACATAAACACAGTAAACATGATGTAATATATATTTCTTGGTACGAATATTATCACGATTTGAATAAAGGTAAAAGTCATTTTCATCCATCAAACTGCTTTTTCAAGGATTTGAAAATGTCATCCTTTGGCACCATCCAGTGATAGGCTCAAGAATTACACTGTGACTGTGCGTCCATCCCACACTGAAGTGGCAGTGACATGATCCTCAGTAAACATCATGATGTTAGTAACAGCAGTAGCAGTAGTGTTTTCTGTAAATTTAGAATGAAATATCTAATATTAACACAGACAGAAGTGAAAACACCTAGTGTCATGGAAATTCTTCTTTTATATTTTAAGGATAAGGATAATCACCTTTATTCGGCCAAGTATGTTACACACACAAGGAATTTGTTTCTGGTACAGAACCGAGGCAGCCATCTGCGGCGCCAACTCACGCCAATGGCTCTAGTCATCGGGGGCAACTTGGGGGTTCAGGATCTTGCCCAAGGACACTTTGACATGTGGACTGCAGGCACCATGATTCGAAATGACCGAGCTACCCACTGAACCACAGTCACCCTGTTTGAGTGTTATTAACGAGTTTTATTTATATGCCAGCATGAAAAAAAACACTCCAACTTGCCATTGTCTTCTGACCAGTATCTGTCAAACCCCTGGTACTGAAACAGAACAAAGGACCCACCCTTAAAGGTGCAGTGTGTGAGATTTAGTGACATCTATTGGTGAGGTTGCAGATTGCAATGTAGAGCATTGTGTTAGCCCTCACAGCCATTTTACAGTGATTATGATAAATGTAAGACAAACCACGCACTCAGAAAACAAGTGCGGCTGACTTGACCAAGCAAAAGTTAACAGCAGCTCACTTGACCACAGTGGGTCAGTGCTAAAGTGCTAAAGTTGGCAAATAAAACCTTGTATTTAGGTTAACTTTACTTGTTAGGCTCAATTACTTTGTCCAGCATAAAACAGGCAACTTCAACATCATTCTGGAAACATTTGTCCCTCATAAGGGATTGTCATCTGGAAAAAGCCACACCAATGTTTATCCTCATCCTGCTTCTTTGTGTCTTTGCTTCTATGACGACAGGGATTCATGCCTTCTTCCTTTTTTCTGTGTTACAGTATCAGCTAACTCTAACCTCCATTTCTTCTAATTATAGTTGTTAAACTCACAACAATACTTCCTCTTGTTTTGAACATTACTTATTCATCTTCCAGGCATGTGCAACTCCAAGCTGCTACTTCAACATGAAAATGCAAAATCCACACTCTAGAGCCAATGTGTGGTAAAAACAACATAGCAGACTCTATGACAGGGGACCCGCTCCTCTGTACATATAAAAGGCTCATTCTAAGCTAAAGAAAAAGCAACAATTCTTATTTTCTGGTGATTATACATTAATGGAAGCATAATTCTGCATACTATAGCCCATTTCTGCTAATAAATCCTTCTAGATCTTACACATCGCACCTTTAAAAACATCATTCAGTCACAAATCTTGACACAGAAAACCATATGTCAGGCAATAAAACCCCATCATTGTAGCTTCCTGTATCCCTCTCCGTACTAAATATAACACCCTTTTAGGTAAAATAATAACAGACCCTTCAGCCGGTGAAAGCAACACCTTTTGTATGACCCTTAGATAAATCCCCCTTATTTTAATACAATAATCTTATTGACCCAGTCCCTTATGCGTCATTCTGCCGAAACAGTCATATTATCATTTCATTCACAGCTCCATCTCCCATCAGCCACCACTCACTCACAATGTCTGCATGCTCACTTTCATTTGGTATCACATTTGGGTAATCCATGAGTGTGTTTTTTAATGTTCACCAGTATCTTTATCTACTGTAGGAGTGAAACGTGTGGGGATATGATAATATGTCTTGAACTGTACATCTTCAGGAGCAGTACATATTCATCCATGATGCCATACTAGAGGCTTGTCTATGTGGAGAAACAGCCATACCAGTCTGCGAGTTCAAAGCGGCCTTTTATGAGCTGATCCGTATCGACTCCCAGACCAACTCATCACATCTGAAGGACGAGTTCCAGGTAAAACCTAATAAAATTCTTTAAGTGACACAAATCTATACTATGGATATCAAACATTCACCTACTGAAGATCTAAAACTGTAAAATACTGTGGTCAACTTCAATTCACATTTAAATTTAGAACCTAAATATTCAGAGCAAAAATAAATAGACAAAATGTAAATAGAAACTTCTCAATCCACTTATGTAACATAAACCACTTCTCTCCTCTTCGTCCATATGCTTAGTATGGAGCAGTATGCATTTAGCTTCATCACAGTATGGCTAAATCCATCATTTCTGGCAGAGTTTTTGAGCTTTTGGATGATAGTACTGCATCTAATCACTATATTTAGCCACAATGTAATGAAAGAACCAGATTCTAAATTCTTTCCTGGCTTTTCTCATATTATCAGATCTAATATCTAACTATATTCGGTCCTGTCCAGCAGTCAAAAACAATTTTAACCATGCAATTTATACACTTACAGTAAAGGCTAATCTGTGCAGCTGAACCTAATTTATCAGCAATGCAACATTTTATGGAGACTAGGTAGATTTTTAGGATACATTTTTGTTTTCTTGGGACCCTCCTTTCAGTCCTAGCTTTGCTAACCAAACATCTCTCTTTGTCCAGACATTAAATTCGGTGACTCCACAGCCACAGCCTGAAGACTGCAGCATTGCATTGTTGCCTAGAAACCAAGATAAGAACCGTTTTATGGATGGCCTCCCTCCTGACAGATGCCTGCCCTTCCTTATTACAATAGATGGAGAAAGCAGCAACTACATCAATGCTGCTCTGATGGATGTAAGTCTGTGAACATGCTCATATGCACATACAGCATGGCATGGTTGTGTTATTTTCAACACATTAGTCAAAAGTAGTTTGGGACATTTTGCACTGGGTGTTCTTATTTGATGAGTATACTGTATGTGGAAGTAACATTTTAGACTTGCACATGTGTTGCTTTTAACACAGTTAGTACCTGTACAATGTAGAAAAGTAGAATAAAATTCTATTGTCCCAAACTGCAGTCACAAATTTGTTGAAAATGAAACAGACTTTTAAGAGGTTAAACACACCTGATGACAAAGAGAAACACATGAACATGCAAACAATTTTGTACATACAGTGTGTTTGTACAGACAACACGCACTCACACGTGCACACACACAGAGACTCCCTTCCCTGTTTGTGTGATGCTGTGTTTGTGGTTTTAGCAGCAGAAGGCTAGAGACAAATCCAGCTTCTGAAAAGACCACTGGCTTCTCTGGCCACCACCCAAACATTACTTAGATTGGCAACCGTTGACACTGTCTCAACACGTTGCTTATATACTATGACTTGAAAAACAAAGTCATTAAGTAGGTACAAATTTGAGGTAAAATACAAACCTCTGGTTATTGTCAGGTCAACTTGTAAGTTAATGTTTATTAGCCATTCTGTTTTGAGAAACAATATACATTGGAGAGGGAGGAAAAGATAGTACAGGGTGGGCTGTAGGAACAGTACGTAAGTTCATATTATTGGTTGAAACACAAGGTGTAATATATGCATGGTGTGGAAAGAAACCTGGCTTACCTCCAACAAAGCTATTGGAGAGCAAAAATATAATTATTGTGGTAAAACTGAAATAAGTCCAGCTTTTCAAATTCTCCTTTAAAGTTTAGTTAAACTTACCTTTGGCCTCTCCCTAACCAAGCTGTCAGAAGAGTTCCAGGTAATGGGATTTTATGTCAAAGTTCCAATACTGGATTTGTTTCATGGCTTTAGTGTCATTCTGCCAGGCCCATGTTTAGCAAAGCCATTTAGACCCTGACCCTCGACATTAGACTGTGCTCATGTTCACACTGCCTCCATCATTCAAGCCATTCTCACCCATGTCACATACTAAACCTTTAGTGGATTTTGTCTTTGCTATTTCTTTTAAAACTTTTAAGAACTTCCTGAATCAGCTGAACGATAACATAACTACATATATATAGTATATACATATACAAATATCTGTCCAGAAGAGTGCAGTCCTAGGAACAGCTAAGATACTGCGCAGTATCCTCAAGCTCCCAGGCCTCTGGTAGAGGACCCGAGCTTGAAGAAAGGAATACAAGACCACTCCAAAGTGGGGGGGGCGAGTGGGGAATTTTTTATATCTATCTATCTTTACAAACATATATATATATATATATATAGTATAAAGTGTACTGCATGCTCCTCGCCTTCACATTTGGTAGGCCGACTGCATGATCATTCACCTTTTCATGTGTGCTGTATGCTCAGTGTGTACCACAGTGTGTCTCGCTCTACTCTGTTGTATGTTTTTGATGTGTGTATGAGGGATGTAATAAAGAAAAGGATTAGGCAACACAATATGGAGAGATGTCTAGGATGTGTATGAAAAACCTGCTTCTGTGAGAAACACGTGTGTATGAAACACCTGATACCAGTTGTTTTGTCTCTTACTGCAGAGCTACAGGCAGCCAGCTGCATTCATTGTTACCCAGCATCCTTTGCCTAACACAGTGAAAGACTTCTGGCGTCTGGTTTATGACTATGGATGTACCAGTTTGGTGATGCTCAATGAGATTGACCTGGCTCAGGTAGTTCACTTTTTCCGTTTGGAGATGCAAAGCTTTCATGCAACAACATCAATGAACAATGTGTCATAACTTGTAATAACTTTATTTGACTGTAAACCTATATTTATATTTAGTCTCTTAAGCACATGTAACTAACATATTGTACACCCACATTTTAAGCAATGAAGGAAGGAGAACAAGTCCTCAAATATCAGTCTTAGACAAACATTATGGACATTATGGACATTTGCAACAGTAGCAAATCTGCACAGATAAAGTTACTGTATTTTGGCCATTGTATCAGATGAAAATCTTATTATACTCCAGTCTGTGAATAGAGAAGAAAGGCTAATTTTGAGAATAAATAATAACCGTAACAAACATGCTTAAAGCATTTCTGTTTCTCTCTGTCTTTATTAAAGTGTGATGTTGTTCCTTTCATATTTTGTATCTGAACACGGTAACTGTCTCCACTCAGGGCTGCCCTCAGTACTGGCCAGAGGAGGGCATGCTGCGTTACGGTCCCGTCCAGGTGGAGTGTATGTCCTGCTCGATGGACTGTGATGTTATCAGTAGACTCTTCAGAGTCTGCAACCTCACCCGGGTTAGTACTCAGATTTATATAGTTTTGTCTTATTGTGGTTCCTGTGGGTCTCTGCTTGTCCAGTTCTGCTTTAATGTGTGATTGAAAAATGAAGAAGAAAGTATTAACTTATCTCTTCTGTCAGGACAAGGCTGCGTATGAACTGAATCAGTGCCTAAATGTGTGTGTCTTTGAACCTTCAGCCTCAGGAAGGCTACCTGATGGTTCGTCAGTTTCAGTACCTGGGGTGGGCGGGGCATAGAGAAGTCCCCGCCTCCAAACGCTCCTTCCTCAAGTTGATCCTTCAGGTGGACCAGTGGCAACGCGAGGGGGAGGAGGGAGAGGGGCGAACCATCGTGCACTGTCTGTGAGTACACAGCAAAAACAGTTAACATCTCTGTTTAGTCTGAAAAAGTAAATTTAAAAAAGAAATATATGAATTTGTTCAAGTGAAGGTTAAAGGAATGAAAAATGTTGCCACAACTGTCTAAAGACGTATATACACAGGAGGTTTAGTGTGTGCAACATGTAACATCTCACGTGCAGCTAACGAGAGGCATATTAGAGGTAATGAGAGCTGTATTATTTTCTATGTGTTTCCAGAAATGGAGGCGGTCGCAGTGGAGTGTTCTGCGCCAGCAGCATTGTGTGTGAGATGGCCAAGAGACAGAGTGTGGTCGACGTCTTTCACGCTGTAAAAACCTTGAGGAACAGCAAACCTAACATGGTGGACACCCCGGTGAGACAAGTACAGACAGAGGGAGAGATGGTTTATTGACAACATTTAAAAATATTTATAAAAATACAACATACAGTATTAGACTTTGTTAGAGATATGAACAATAAAGTCCGTGTAGATTCTTGACTACGTTGTTTTCTGCAGATTTATAAAGCCACACATACACCTGGTTCTGTTTCATAAATCTCAGTTGTCATGGAATTGGGCCTATGTGCACCAGCTTCTGTTCCACTCCCCCTTTTAGAAATAGATGTAGACATGCCCTTAATCACTCATTTGCATATAAAAACGCTGTCTGAACCACACGTTATTGATGACAGCAACACTAAAGAAGAAGCACAATTTCAATGATTGTAAAATTGAGCCTAACTGATTTGTTTGGTGTTCTCAGTTCAGGGCTAGTGATGTCTCAAATAATAAATAATCTGTGCCATCATTGCCATATAAAACCCTTTAAAATGAATAATTCAACATTCCTACTTTATTTTTACCTTCATTATTTACCTTGTATTAAGTTTAAAGCTAATATGTTTCACAAAAGGAAGAAGATGTGCAAATGAACCAAAATGAGCAGACCTTAAACACTGCAGCTCCTTTGAACTGAGCTTTAGCCAACATATGAATATCTGAGCCAGAAGATCTGAAGTCCAGTGTGTGTCTGTGTACCTACAGGAGCAGTATCGGTTCTGCTATGACCTGGCCCTGGAGTTCATTGAGTCCTCCTAAAGAGCGGAGAGGAGGAGGAGGAGGAAGTGAAGAAGAGATGGACGACATCTGTTCTCTTCCCGTGTGTATGGCCCTGTGCTTTTGCTTGGCCCCAGCTCCCCTCTGTGGTGGCCATCGTGTAGCATCCGTTTTGCATCCCTACAAATGGCACAAGTGAAATCAGCTGCTTGTACAGTTAAACAGAGGGAAAAGTTCAGACTCATGCCAGAAGGAGCTACTGGGGGTGTAACAGAGCAGGAGCTGTAACTCCTTTTTACTCCTTTTATTGTAAAGCTTTTTTGAGTGCCAGTGGGCCTCTGTATGTTCTGGGCTCCATTTAAATGTTTAGCCTGCCACCACAGCGCCCTCTTGTGGACCTGATGCATCGTGCTGTTTCACTTGCAGTACTCCATGTGCA